GGCTCTGGCCCGACAGAAAATCCACCTCAGCTATAGTTGGATTTCTCCCCTAACTTCCTGTGATAGTTACACTGGGATGGGATACCACCTCGGTGCAACCTTACGTGTCATGACCGACCAGATGCTTCAAGTGTCAGCGGTACGGTTACCCAGCAAAAACTGCAAGGCCCCACAGGTTGTGCACTCCAGATGTGTATCTTCTGGACACCAGCATGACAACTGTATGACCAAGACCAAGAAATGTGCTGCCTGTGGTGGTCCTCACTCACCCTCAAACCAAGCGTATCCCAAATGGAGGGAAAAGTGTGGGATCGCGAAGGTGAAGCACACCAAGAACCTCTTCTACAAGGATGCACTCTTCTAAGAGAGGAAAAACAAGAAAAACCACCCAGAACCTCAAAACCATCAAGAACAAAAAACAGGAACAGACAAAGAACCAGAAGATCAAGAAGAACATAAAGAACAAGAAGACCATCAAGAAAACAAGGAAGAAAATGGATGGAAAGAAGTCAACAACAAGAACAAATGGAAGAAGCTACAGTAAACTTAGACCTTCAACAAAAATGTCAGTTGTAATAACCATCGCTGTTGACAACCAGTAATCTTAAAGGAAGAATAAAGGCCACAAAAAACAGAGACAAGGCAGAGTATGTATGTGTGTGTGTGTGAATTGAGGAGCATCGTGTTTCCACCTTCCACATTGCAGTGTTGCCACACCTCCCAGTGAAAACTTTCAGGAAGCTAACTGGCAAACATATTTGTCTCCCCAGTGTACAGTACAGTCAACAAAATAATTATCACACCCCCGGGGTCCGTTGGAACTGGGAATGACCAAATACCTTATGGCATGTGATTGGTTGGCATACCTGGGTTTTCTAAACATTTCATCCTGTGTTTCAGAATGAAAAGTACGGAATGCGACACGTTAATATTTTTATTGGCTGTACATAGTTTACAATATATATAGAACTAATTATAGTTACATTGATAAGTAAAGAACATAAAAAGAGGAATTGGTAGCAGATATGCTGGCACCTCCGAGCGACACTGCGTGGATGGCAACTCCTGGCTGCCCAGGACCTTTAAACCAGATAAGGAGCTTATAGATGTGCTTTTCACTGTTACCATGTGACTTTGGGGGTCCTTTGGGTTGTTTTAGCCAACAAAAAGAATGGTGAATATGTTTGACCATCTGGGCACAACTTACGTTAGGGTGCCACACTTGAGCACATTCTTCAATTTTATCTCCTTTCTCACAAACTGTTCTCACTCACATGATATGTCAGTCAAGCACTCTGGCAATGTTAACAGCTCATTTGGAAGCATTTAAATGCCTTTAAAATATTTCATTTAACTTTTTGATTAATAGGATTCTTTACTTTTTTCTTACCAGACACAATTATCACTTGATGGGTGTTTTCCATTGATTTTTAGATTTTGAAATGGTTTCAACAATGAAATGACATTTACATCTCAATCTAAATAAATGAACAGAAGTGAATATGGTGGTGATGGGCAAGTATAAGCAGTTATTTTGCATTTTTAATGCTATCCAAGTAGTTCATCGCTGTCACATTTGTTGCAAAAAAAAAAAATCTTTTGTGAAGTTTGGTAAAAATAAAAAAAATTTCAGTTCATCAATAATGTACAAGTGAAATGGCATATAACAAGGACAAATTTATTGAGGATTTACTGTATGTTTTTTTTTCTTATTTCGTGTCTGCCTAATACATGTAAGGATTACCAGAAAAATTAGCAATAATTTTGACAATATCAAGCAGTCCTGGGGTTACATACGAGTTCCATTCCTACTGAAGTTCTTAAGTCGAAACACGTACCGTATGTGCATACCATACTTACAGAACAATGTTTATAATCCAACTATATCATAACCTAAGTCCTCATATACATACATCTAAAATTACTTAATTCAAGAAGAGAATGACAAAATACAGGAAATGAAAGTAAGAAAATAAGTCATCAGGTAAAGGTAGTAAGTAGCTATCAAACAGGGTGGTATTATCACCTAGGAAGCTACTGGAAGTATGGAGAGTTGTCTAATGTGCCTGGATGGGCTAATCCCCCCAAAAAAAAGTAAAAAATAAATAAATATAAATATTTTAAGAGTAGCTTATGGGGCCTTGTTCGTATTAGCGGATATTCGTAAGTTGAACGTACGTAACCTGAGGACCTCCTTATTCATAATGAAGAAATAGTGAGTCGAAGTTATTGGTAACCACGGTATGGTTACCACCATAAAATACTGTATCCAATTCTGAACCTGGGAAAATACATTGCCCTCATTTTTCAGTCACAGAATATTGCAGCTGAACTCCCTGCTAATATTGTCTCAAGAAGTTCGTACTAAAACCCAATTAGTGTTCTTCTAGCCTCAATATAATAATTAATCCAAGACCTAAAATGTGACATTTTCATCCCATGGTCACTCCAGAAAGATCACTGTCTGTTCAATTGCAATTAGAATTAATAGAAATTAATACCAACAGAGAACTTCAGATGCCAGGTTGTATGAAGCAATGTGAGTAAACAAAATAAGCCAAGTTGGAGGTCTTTTTGAGGATAGGGAGTCGCATAGCAGAACACATCTTTTACAGCAGTACAAATGAAAGAAAGACTGTGGATGAGGGGAGAACAGGTGTGTTTATTTGCTAATGATTCTTGCCAACCTGTACTATAAGGGAAAAAAGTACAGTATACAGACAGACAGGCACACTGATATTCAGACAATGCTAGAAACACTGACCATAATATAAAATTTTCTTTTTAATCTCTCTTTACATAAACAGGTACCAATTTTCTTCATTCTTCTACTGCACAGCAAAATGCGTGAGAGGACAGCAAGTTTACTTTTAATGATATAAAAGAGTAAGAAAAGAAATACTGTACATAAAGAATATTTAACAGTTTGTAAAGATGATATGATAATTTCTTTTAGTCAGTGCTGACTGTATTGAGAGCTATTCATATAAATATGTACTTATAAAAACACATTTGGAGAAAACACTTGAGTATTTTTATTATACCTCTTAAGAAATTTACTTTACACTGATGTGTGAGAAATCTGGTAAAATATCTGATTTGTATTCATTTCCTGAAGATGGAAACTTCTCAGGTACATTTAATTCCCAGTTTAAGCAACATCTCTCTATTGAATATCTTTCAACAAGTTTTAGTTCCATTAACAAGAGCTCAACCTAGGACTTTTCATGAAATGACTAGAATTGATTTGCAATAGTCTTGTACTTAACAAGACTGTAATTCTGATAATGGATGCAATCTCTTTTTGTAAAACATGGCCATGTACATAAAGCAGAATGAATACTAAAAATTTAATTTATGATGCATTATGTGTAAGGTCCATGCACTTTCCAAACTATACCCAGATACTATACTAGTGCACAACACACTAACCCATCAACCCATACTTGCACATTCAAGCATGTGCACATGCATAAATGAGCACAAACACATGCCATGAAGGGACCTACATTGTCAATATACAGTATATTGTTTCTATCAAATAATAATAATGCTAATAATTCACTTCATGTACTGTGTGCGCGCACGCACGCACGCACGCACACACACAAACACACACACAGTGGTCCTTGGTTAACGAATACAATTCGTTCCACAGTCATTCGTTAACCAAAAATTTCGTTAACCGAATCCATTATTTCAATGGGATATTGGGTAATTGGTTCCAGCTCACAGAATATAATTTACATTGCTGGGATTCTTGTAAGATAGTGATTAATTTGAATATAGGCAAGCAATAATTTGTACCACATAAAAATTTTAGTACCGTAATCATTTAGTACATGTACAGTACAGATTTGCAATTAGGTCATTTATTTCTTTTAGTATGGTGTGTGGATGTAAATGAATTAAAATAAATGAAGAAATTTATGTAAACCTACCCTGAAATAGTTGAAAAACTTTACATTATAAAATGTACTACAGTACACTAATGTACTAAAATTTCTAGGTCTTGTACAAAATATATGATGTTTATATTCAAATTATTCACTGTCTTGCAAGGATTCCAGCAATGCAAATTATATTCACCTAACTTTAGTCTGTGATATTATATAAGATAAAAACTTAAAGCCTACTGTATAACCACCAAACTCTTGCTGGGAGGGGGGGGGGGGTGACAGTGACATGTTCGACAGTTAGCGCCAAGGTCTAGTGTAGTATTTATTTGTTTATTTATGTCCTTTAGATCAAGTTTTTGTTTTTTTCTTATAAGATGTCATAGAAGTGACCGGGGAGAATATAATTTACATTGCTGGAATTCTTATAAGATAGTGATTAATTTGAATATAAAAAAGCGATAGTTTGCCATACACAAAAATTTAAGTAATCATTTTGTACATGATTTTGATTACATGTACAGTACAGCTTTGCCCTTAGGACAGTGTGTGCATGTAAATGAGTTTCAATAAATGAATAAAGTTACATATATCGAGCCAAAAATAACAGTTGAAAAACTTTGTAGACACAGCTTGGATGACTAAATTTTAGAATGACCAATAATTTTAATATACAAAATGCAACCTTCTTGATATTTACTCACTGGAAACGAACGTAAACATAGAACAGATTACTGTATTGGTGGACTAGCAGATCAGCTGATGCTCACAACAAAACGTGTTTGTCGTAAGGATTTCGTTAATCAAAGTTTTGTTCATTAACTAAATTGAAGATCTTTATGGGAGCCAATTCATTTCGTTAATCAAACCGTTTGTTAACCGAGGGACCACTGTGTATGTATGTATGTGTGTGTGTGTGTGTATATATATATATATATATATACGTATATATATATAGAGCAAGAGTTTCAGAGTTTCATGCTTATTGTTTGTTGTACAGGTACATTATTTACAATTGTCCAGCCTATGGTGTGTGATGGGGCAAGTTGTGAAGGGTAAAAATTTTTATGGTCAGTGGAAAATATATTTTAAAGGGTCATGTTGGGTTCAAAATTGGAACAATACTTTTTTTTTTTTTGGAATGTGTATTTAGAAAAAGCGAAGGCTAGTACAGTAATCACAAGTGGGTGACTCCATCTGCCTGTTACTCAATGTTGTACTACACCAAAAATGTGGCTGTTAATGGTGGCTTGGGGAGCTCCAATCACTTTCCTGACTGTAGAAGTAATTGTGAGGAGGCCTTCCAAAATTTTTAAGGTGAATTTCTTTATTACATTTTTGTTAAATAATAAAAAAAAATGGTGGCTATAAAAATTGTACAATAAAAGCATTTAAGTAAGAGAACAACAGAACATACAACTATGACAAAACATCATTTGTACATAAAGTTTGCTAGACTTGAAAATGGCTTTGCCGAGAACAATCAACCCCCTGAGAAGATGTTCTTAACATTCATTTTTATTTGAGGTAAACAAAATTATGTTTTTGTATTTAAAGAATTTGGTTCATTTAACAGATATTACTATTTATCCTAATGTCACCCAAACCTCAGACCCTACTGAGAAAATTACCTCACCATTATAAACATCTGCTAATTTTACCTAATTTATAAGGAAAATTCAAGATCTTTCATATTCATATGCAAAGATTACCACGTACATAATAATAATGAGTCCTGACATTCTAGAATGACACTTCAGAGTTCACTACAGTACAATATGTATATACAGTATATAAAATGTATGTTAAGTCAAAAATCCCAGGTTCAATGAGCAACACCTGCCCACCTCTCCCGTCTGAGTGTAAAGGATTCAGCATGTGTCTTAAGGTCTAAAAAAAAAAAAAAAGTACATGCCACCAAATTTGAATTCATTATACATGTTTTAGTTCAAGGGTTCAAAATTGGCCTTAAGTTTGATTTTTGGGAACACACCATGATCATACATACATACATACATACATACATACATACTTACATCCATACAGTACACACACAGATTTCACAAAAATTTTTGTGTAACTGTTGAACCCCACACGACCCTTTAAACTATTTGTACAGTGAAAAAACAAAAACAAAACACAATTCATCATTTTGATACACCAAAAACAAATAACTTTCAACTGTCTATAAGAGTATGGTACAGTATGCTTGTAACTTAATGGAGGAAAAAATTTGAAGGGTGAGCAATGTTTTCCAAGACTTAAAATAATCCAACAAACAATACTAAAACTAACAAATGGAAAGATGACTGATGACAGACTAAAGACCACGGGAAATACCACATCACTATACAGTATGAATAGAAACATGCAGAGGTATAAAAATGCTATAAACAAAGCAGTTATTAATCAATTGTAGCCCATCTATGATGAAACGAAACTTAAAGCCAAGGAAAAAGCAGAGAATTGTTACATCATTTGGAGAGAGCATGGACCAATAATATATATATAATACACACACAGTGGCATGGACTAATAATTCCCTCAATTAGGGATACTTCAGAATGCCCATTTCAAAAGCATAACAGTGATTTTTATTTTTATTAATTTTTTTCAAATTTTTTTCACCATGAAATACTGTAAACATTACAAAATGCCTACTGTACTATTATGACTAATATCTCCTTAAGGCTTCAGTATCTATACTGGAATATCCACAGTGAGATGACCTTATCCCAGCACTCCATCAAATTCACAACACACAACTTTCCCTATTATATATATATATATTACTTTGTTGTCTCACTTCTTCCATTAATATTACTTAACAAAATATAAAACATAATACACCAAAGAGAGCACAACAATATTAATAATGTTCATTTTATGCAATTTTCTAATAATTTCTTCAACAATACTACAGTATTATAGAAAAAAAGTTGTGTATGTAATCCAAAAGAAAAAGTACATCAAAAAAATATTTAGTTTCTTCTCAATTCTTTGACAAAATTCCATAGTAATTTAGTGATGTACCAGACCAGCTGGCTTGTTCTTACAGGTGGTGTCCAGCCTGAGGTTCATGATGATAGGAAACTTGTTTATTATAATGTACTTAAGAATCACATTAGTATCATTCTAAGAATGAATTGGAAATGGCATTCCAACCACAAAAATGTTGCTGATTCTTTTCCGTTTCTTTCACTTATTACAATTGTATAGACTTCTATTGCATATTACTATGGGGCTATAATTTTATATGAGCCCTCACACACTGGATAACAGGGAAGAGACTGTAACAAGTCTCTATTCTTGGATACATTAAATAATAACAAGTGGCAACAATAACTCAATTCAATTATTATTGACTTTCCACCACATCATAGCTCACCCAGCATACACCAGCTGCCTCTGGCACACTGCAGGATGGTTCTGTTGTGGTTGAGTGGCAGTACTCAGGGTGTTCACTATATGTTTAGGTAGAAGGCCCAAAGAGGGTTGGGGAGGCTTGCAATCAAGCTGGCCTTGGTTCTCGACTTATTGTACTGTTAAGCATTAACAAACTGGACAAAATATAGTGATGAAATGACTATAGGTATTTAAATATCAGCTATGGTTAGGCTAATAACCTATCTAGTACAGGTATCAGGTAAACAAATATTGCTTCTGGAACTGTCTGAACCACTGGCCCAGATATCAAAAGAATTGGTTAATATGGGCAGTAGATGAGGGTTTATAATGAAAACCCTGAGTACAGTACTGTATTAGTCTAAAACCCTTTTCTGGTCCCTCCCAAGTCTGCCCATCACAGAGGGTCGCTCTATCACTCACCTGCTACATTGCCTAACCTCTGACAACCATCACAGTCCAATGTGTAGCACCACAGAATCAGGCTGAGGTGATAATACCCTGTCCTAAGTACCACCATAGTTATTGCCACAGTTTTGTGGCCAGGGTGGTGTTATTGGTCCCAAGGCCACTAGTCGTAACTGGACCAGCCACGGGCTGGGGCATACCACCACTAACAGGGCCAGCTGAAACACTGCCAACACTCAATCCTCCCATCATCGCCGTCATGCCTCCTCCTAAACTGTGTGTCTGACCCATCACTGGCTGTTGACCACCCATGCTGAGCCCAGCCATCTGAGATTGTATCTGAAAATTTAACAAGCTTATCATTTAAGGCAGGTAAAAGCCATCACCCACAATGAAATCCAAGAGGCAGTAACATTGGATAATAATTGAAAATGACAATTTCTAAATTTCTCTGAAATCTTGGAGTGAAATAACCACAAGGCCAGTTTGATAAAATCGTTTACTGCGTTCCCTGAAGTGCAGAATAAGGTTTTCTCTTTGTATACCTGCTCTTGGGAATACAGCAATAAATGAGTACACTACTGTGTTTGCTTCTGGAAGACAAACATATTATGTATGCAGTGGAGTTGTGATAATTTGCAAAATACAAATTCATGTTTTTAAATTTGTTGGTACCTCTATTACTACAGGGTACTACTACATTTTTTTGCGGTCAAATATTCATAATTTGCATGGGCTAGTGTTTATTTACAAAAAACCATAAAGGTTATGGAAATATAATTTCAATGCTCTAATTTGACTTGGATATAAAGAAAATACAATATAAAACTACAAATAGGGAAAAACGAAGAGTGGGAAGTGAATTCTGTGTGGGAGAAGTAGGAGGTAGGGTTGATGGATTGCTGGACTGAGACTAGAAAATTTCCCTCCCTCTCCCTCCTACATCATCCCATGACCCCTTTATAATGACAGTATGCAATTTCACCATAATTCCCACACAGTGGAGTTGCAATAATTCATGGGTACCTCTATTACTACCCCCCCCTTTTTTTTAATATTCACAATTTTCAGCTGAGAGGCTGCTGCTACAATGTTTATTTATATAAGAAACCATAAAAGTTGTGGAAATATAATTTCAATGCTCAAATATGACTTAGAAATAAATAAAATAATATATAAAATTATGACGTAAGAAAAATGAAAAGTGGAAAACAAATTCTGTGTTGGAGGTTGGGTGGTGGACTGAGCTTCCCCAACCCCCACTTCCAGAGCACCCACCACCCCTCCAACTTCTTTAATACAACATTATGCAATTTCACCATAATTCCCATATTACTTACCGGGTAGGTTCATTTGATACCATGTTAATAAATACAGGTTGGACCCTGTTAATCCGGCAGCTTTGATGGTTTGGAATGCATACCTATAGTGAATACTAAACCATATGGGGAAAATTAAGATATGTTCCACAACTAATAAAAGTCAACAGAAATGCTATAAAAGTTGTGGAAAAATCATCACAAATATCACAGACTGTACTCAAATTTACTAAGTTAATAATTAAAATTTTTAAGTCTAGTGAGAACTATGGGATGTCTATACTCAAATTAATTTCCATCTTGCAAGAATTCCAACAATGCAAGTTATATTCTGTTAAGTCAAGTTGGTGACATTTATATACAAAAAACATAAACTCCCTCCTCCCTCCTGACCCCTCAACTGATAACTAAGCAACTGGCACCTGGCTGTCAACACCCCACCTCCCCCATCCCCCTCCTCCCAGCCCTTCTGGCAAAAGAGCTGGTGGCTAGGTATAACATTAACATAGCAGCCATTAGTGAGTCCTGGCTCCCAGACAATGGTTGACACACAAAGAGGGGGTCTGGCTATACCTTCTTCTGGAAGGGTAAGCCTGCTGCAGAGAACCACATTTAAGGAGTTGGCTTTGCCATCCGCCAATGCACCCTATATAAGCTAACTGAAATGCACCTCATGACGCTCCAAGTCCCACTGAATCACTCACGTCATACCTTCTTCATCAGTGTATATGCCTCAACACTGGCTGCAGAGGATGACATCAAGGAGGCCTTTTACACCGAACTTGACAGAGTACTAACCTCTATCCCCAGGAAATATAAAGTTGTGCTCCTAGGTGACTTCAATGCCAGAGGTGGCCGAGATGCTGACATTTGACAGGGAATCATAGGGAGAAATGGACTAGGAAAGTGTAATCCAACGACCTACTCCTCCTCAGCAAGTGTGCTGCACACAACCTCACTATCACCAATACCTTGTTTAGGCAGGCTGACAAGTTTAAGGGATCGTGGTAACACCCACGCTCCAAACACTGGCATCTCATTGACTACATCATTGTCAGAGAAAGATAATCGCCGAGATGTCCTAATCACCCAAGCCATGCATGGCCCAGACCACCGCAACACTGATCATCGGCTAATCAGAGCCAAGCATTCACTCCACGTCGCCCCAAAACGGTGAAGGCAGCAAGCCTCCAGAAGAGGTTTTAACACTAAGCGTCTGCAGGATCCAGCGGTAGCACATGCTTTCAGAGAGTAAATCGAACATGGGCTGATATACAACTCGACAAAAACCTGCAGAGACCCTCGGCTAGATCGAAAGAATACACCAGGACTGGTTTGATGAAAATGACACGGAAATCAATGTACTCATCGATGATAAATGTGCTGCTTTAAATGACTGGCAGAGAACAACCCTCAGTCTCGGACCAAAGCTGATACCTTCCGCAAGAAGAAAGCAGCAGCCCAGTGTGAACTTTGCAATCTAAAGACTGATTAGTTTAAAAATAAATCAGCACAAGATGCACGAATTTTTCAATTCCACTAAAAATTTTTATGGGCCAGTCACTCATGGCGCAGCTCCCCTCTGCACATCCGACGGTAACTCCCTAATTAAAGAAGAAGGCATCCTTCAGCAGTGGAGAAAGCACCACCATTCACTGTTCAACAGAAACACAGAAGTGGATGTCCTAACTACCAGGCAGGTCCCTCAGCATCCAGAGCTGACCCACCTCATCTATCTTCCATCCCTGGACGAATTAGCTACTGCCATCAAACAGATGAAAAATAACAGAGCATCAGGGCCTGATGGAATCCCAGCCAAGGTGCATAAAGCAGGAGGACCTCTGCTTACCAGCCGTCTCCACTCTCTTCTGGAGAATATATGAGAAAAGGAGGAAATCCCCCAAGCTCTTAAAGATGCCACCATCATCAATATTTATAAGAACAAAGGAGACTGGTCAGACTGTGGCAACTACCGTGGGATCTTGCTGCTCCCAGAATCTCAATGTGGCTTTAGACCATCACGTTGTACCACTGACGTGATCTTTGCTGCCCGCCAGATACAGGAAAAGTGCAGAGAACAATGTAGTGACCTGTACATGGCCTTCATCGACCTAACCAAGGCCTTCGACTCGGTCAGCAGGGAAGCCCTCTGGCAGACCCTCAGCCGTTTTGGCTGCCCACCAAAATTCACCGCCACTGTGAGACAACTCCACAATAGCATGAACGCCAGTGTCCTGCACATTGGTACCCAGTCTGAGCATCCAAACAGGGGTAAAACAAGGATGTGTACTGGCATAAACTCTCTTTTCCATTTTCTTGGCTGCCTTCCATAAACGTGCCAGTGCCAATTTAGCCACCGGAGTGAACATCCAGTACCAGGTGAAGGGTCTTTTCAAAATAAGACGACTCAAGGCAGGAACAAAAGTGTCGGCAGCTTCCATTACTGAACTTCAGTATGCAGATGACCTCACTCTTGTCGCTCACACTGAATGTGACCTACAGGAGATCCTGAACACCTACGCAGATGCCGATGCACACTTCGGCATTGAGGTGAATGTACGTAAGACTCAGATTCTCTTTCAACCTGTCCCTTGTTCAGCCACACCTCCACCATCCATCCAGCTTAATGGTACTACCCTCTCTAATGTTACCCACTTTCGGTATCTCGGCTCCCACCTGACCATCACCACGAACAACGATGAAGAGATTCAACAGCGAATCAGATGAGCATCTCAAAACTTTGGCAGACTCCGTACCCGTGTCTTTAGCTGTAGGAAGCTTAAATTATCTACAAAGTTGCACGTTTATCGAGCAGTGGTCCTCCCCACCCTGATACATGGCAGCGAGACATGGGTCACATACAGGAGGCACCTCAAGGCACTTGAAAACTTTCACCAACGTAGTCTACCTTTTATCCACCAAGTTTGCTGGGAAGACAAAAGAACAAATGCAAGTATTCTCGCTGACACCAACTGTAGGAGCACTGAGGCTACCATTATGCTAGAACATCTACATTAGACTGGCCATGTTACCCGCATGGACGACAATAGGCTGCCAAAGCAGCTACTTTACAGTCACCTAACGAATAGTAAACTTAACGCTGGAAGGCAACTAAAATGGTATAAGGATAGTCTCAAAACAAACCTGAAAAATTGCCAAATCGGCCCCCTCACCTGGAAGACGATTAATCCACATCATAACGCTTGGAGGAGCACCACACGAGAAGGTGTCAATACTTGTGAGGGTCCAGTGTACAATAAACGTGTGCCATAGCACTAACACTTAGTCATAAAGAGGTCCAGTAAGCCTGGGCTAGATTTATGCTAATGTAAGTTGTATTGGTATTAGTAATTTTATGCATTATTTTGCCTTCTTTTAACCTCGGCTTCAATCATTCAGAATTTTCGCTAATCCGGAACTGGACTGGTCCCAAGCTTCCTGGATCGGTGAGGTCCAGCCTGTATTATAGTAAAGTACACCAGTACCTCAAAATATACGAGTTTAACTCTCACGAATTCGACTATCCGCCATGATGTGACATCATTGCATCCTGCGAAGCTGTTCTCTAGTGCCAGTCTCATCTGAGAGAAATTCTAATGTTAATTATAACTGTTATGGTTCCCACAAGGTCATTTACTGGTGGTAGTGCATCTGGTGCAAAGAGAGTGGATTAAGTCATAACTCTGACACAGAAAATTTAAGTGGTAGATAAACTTGATAGCAGCATGCATGTGTCAGCAGTTGGCCATGCATTTGAAGTGAATGAGTCAACTGTTCGTTCCAAAAAGATGAAAGGCAAGGAAATTAGAAGTAGTGTTGCTCATAGTGCACCAGTGCTAAAGTTACACATCAGATCTGTGATAAAGGTATAGAGAAGATGGGGAAGGCACTAAGTGGATGGATTAAGGACAGGAGTCAGGTGTACCAAAAATTTAACAAATATAATTTACAACAATGACCATCAATGGAATTAAGCATCAAAATTTAGTGGAATAAAGAGAATGTTTTACAACCTTATCA